ATTCATGCATTTAATTAATTCTTTTACTTTTTTTATACTTCTTTTACGTATTTTGGTAATCATTTACACTATTTTGCACTATATCCCTGTGCGCATGTGTGTTTTTCCACTGGGAGATTTGACAGTTCATCCGCCGCCATTCGTTCCAAAACACCGGTGGGAAGTGTCACATTTTAGGTGTGTTTCGTCGATTCCGGGTCGCTTTTAAAGCCATTTAGTGGATATATAGAACCAATAGATATTAGTGTCTATCTCAGCCTGATATATGAGCCCAACAAGTGCCCCAAATGTCGAAAAAAGTGATTAGAAACCAAGGAATTCGGACTATAGATGGAAACCAAGAAAAGTTTGGTCTTTGGCTATATAAAGGTATGTGGTTTTATCCTGGGGGTTCAGAGGGCAGAGCCCCCTGGCTAGGGAATATATAGATCGTATTTTATTAAAACCATGGGGGTCCAGGGGGCGAAGCCCCCTGGCTAGGGGCATATCGTACTACGGGGGTCCAGGGGGCTTGGCGCATTTAATAACAAGGGGGTCCAGGTGGCAGAGCCCCCTGACTAGGGAATAAATAGATCGTAGTGTATAAATCCCACAGTTTTAGGTTAGGTTGGTTTATTGGTTAGGACGCATTGTACGATTACCACAGGGGATCTGGATTATATGAAATCCTGTAGATTTTTATTGAAGACTGGGTTTGATTCCTGTAGAGTTTTTCGAAAATTGGCGTGCCGGTCCGTAGACTTCCAAAGGGGAAGTCTATGGGGACGTCTGTAGAGTTTCACAGGCTGATTTTCATCGTTTTTTGTGCTTTTCGGGACAGAAATTTGGCTCGGGTTTCTTAAAAAACGACTTTTTTTACGTTTCTTAAATCAATTTCTTTGATTTCTGCAGGTTTCTATCGATATCCAGTGCCATCCATTATCCCCCCCTTCAACCCCCGGTTCCCCACGCATCCCCCAAGAACGTTGGGTAGAGGAAACATCAAAAAAATCTCATTTTGGAACTTAGTCTCTGAGAGAGGGCGTTGCTCTTGGTAACAATTACCATATATTTAGAGGCATATACGCCTACCCCTTATAGACTTATGGTCACAGACTTATGGCTAATACACCTTGGTAATTTTTTGTTAGCCCATTGTTGCCAGTTAATCACACTGTCTACTGTAGTTTTCTTTTATGAAGTTTGTTTACATGTAGGTGGCTCCATAAAAGCTTAGTCACCAAAGAGTCAATTGATAGGTCAGTTTTTGTTACATAGAGTAATGCACTGTCCAGAGATGAACCAAACCTAGCCATTCCTATCTTCTATTTACTCCCTAGACAGGGGGGCAAGCCTCACTGTACTTCCCTGTGTGAACTTTTAGAAAAATTGACATTAAAGACTGTGGCTGTTTGAGCGTGTTGTGGACTTGGTCTCTGAGTGGTGACACAGAGGGTATTTTTGTAATTTTCTCTAGGTAATAGGTTTACTTGATCGACAACTCTCTCATATGTGTAGCTTCTGAGTGCAGTGTACACAAACACCTGTATGTGGTGGCTAGATTCTCTGCCCCACCTTTGCATTGTTGTTATAAATGTACATAAGTGTACCTGTACTTGTAAGACATTTGCAGAAGAAACCCCCACATTCACATTCTTGGCCTAGATTACAGTGAAGGGCATGAAAGGTACCAGGGATTTTATAGTTTAAAATGTGAATATGATATAAAATAGTCATTATAACCCCTTCCCATTGGGAGTCGCCGTGAGGCATCAAAACAAACCGCTTGATCTGGGGCATGCAGGCTTGCCAAATCGTTACAAGCCAGTGATTTGGCTTGATGTACTGAACTCCGGGGCTCAAAGTCGGTACGTTGCCATTGATCTCCAAGAGCGTAGAGTTTTTTAAAAATTTTCTTCACCCGTCATCAAGGGGATAATAATATACACAGAATAAGTCACTATATTGTCTAATGAAGAGGGCTGTACCCTCTGCAATCCCCTATGGAGGTCTGCAGTCCTCCAACTACTGCCCTGTAAGACAAAGTATCTTCCACATATCCAGAGCAAGACAGAATATATGACTGACATTCTGAGGTGAACATAAGATACAGGCTAGGAATGATGATTTACCTACCAGGCTCATAGTACATACCAAAGATTTAGAGAATTTAAAACATTTTGCTCTCTCTTACTTTGCACCAGTGATTTCCAAACTTCTCTTGGTGATTGCACCCAAAAGTTGCTTAATATTTTTGTATGGGACCCTTATGGCAAGAATAGATACAACATGGCATGAACTAGTTAACCCTAAAATACTACAGTTCCTACCTTGCTGCCCACCAAAAGGATCACATTTTCTTTTTGGACCAAGGACAGGTTTAAAACTTTTTTTTTGCATTTCTGAAACTCCAAACACTTTGGTACATGTTTGCCCTTTATGTGCACATTATTGGAACATCATCTTTGTTTGCACCAGTTTGTATGCCTCTACCTTGATGCAATGTGATACAGTCCTACCAACCAATCAGAGTGCAATATTTTTCTGATATATTTCTCATAGTCTGAGATAGGGATTTATATTTTCATTAATCATGAATCGCATTATAAGGTTCCTGATAAAAAAAATTTATTGTAAAGTTGCATAAAATTTATCTGAGCCTTTTTAGCTGTAGATAAAATATATCTTCACTCGATATGAGTTTGAAATTTGAGTTAATCTTTATAGTTGCAGGAAAGGCATGGTAAGAATTTTCAGCATGTCCAAGTCATATGACATGATATTGATTTTGATGGAATAAATGCCATCAAAATCATTCCGTATCCGTATTGTATATATGATTTGTTGATATATTTCAATAAATAAGACCAGGAAATGCCTGTGGTTATTGGAATTATCCAGTTGTCTGATTCAGACAAGAAGCTCACTCATGGTTGATAGGATAAAGTACAAAACCATATACAACATTGACGTTTCATACAAAGAACAATGTACATATTAAGAAGATAAAAGTTTTGACTGACTCTGAGAAATATTTAAGTTTTCACAGCCTTGTGAAGGGAAGAGTGGTGTGTATAAACATATAAGCCTATAAGTTCGAGAGAAGTCAGCTATTTTTTCCATTTTACTTGAAGTTTCCACAATGTTTTGCTTGTAATTAAGAATCATACCAACATATTAAGTACTTTAATTATTTTCTATTGACTATGTTAGATTAAAAAAAATAACTTGTAATAATCATGATACAACCTGAACAATGTATGAAAGTGTAAAGGGTTTTGGGATACTAAAAAAAAGGCCTTTAATCTTGTATGTTTGTTAAAATTTATACACTAGATAATTTCTCATTTTTTTATCAATGAAGTGTAAAAGAAAAAAAAGAATTGCCATCATAATAAATGTAGAATGAGTGAGGAAGTAAGTATTAAAACCTGTATCCATATATTATAAAGTGATAAAAAAGTAAACCATGAGACAAATGTGTGAAATGTAAAATTGGAGAAAGGGTACAAGGTATATGGATTATTTGCACATCATGTATTATGGACATTTTTATGTTTTTTACTTATTATATTCATTTGCATAAATAAGAGGCAATCTCAGGGGAAGTACTTGTATGAAATAGTGGAAGGGCATGGGGGAACGGGGTTTGTGGGGATATTGCTGGATAAAACTTGCCAAATGGTACTTCACATTTTTTACTTCCCATTCACAGAGATGATACTACAGGAAAACAGCCTGTCAGTTTTTGAGTCTTTGATTGACTCAACTTGGATCAGGCATCAGAAATAAAAATACATTTTGACTCGGGGTTAAATAAGTCGAACATTACAGGCAGTTGCAATAGGCTCTTGGTGTTTGTGCATCATCAAGAGATTTGCTGTTAAAAGTACATAATTATTTCATACATTGTAAACTAGTGGAGCAGATGTAGCTTTCAAATCTGTTTGATGAATTCTACAAGATTTTAACCAAGGAAACAGATTAATTGAACATTTCATGTTGAAACTGAACAGTTTTACCCTCGCTGTTAATTAATTTATTGTAGAAATGTTTTCCAATGAATAGGAGATGCTTATAAATTAAGTAAAGTGTAATAGTACAGTTATTTTCCAGAATAATGGGAATTTTTATTGAAAGTAACTTGTATATAGTTTTACATAAAAATGGTATTACTGGAAGACTTTAAAGCACTGCATTCCCCCCTCCCCCCCACAGTTCATCTAATCTTGAAAACCCTGTGCACTTCGGTTTTGATTTAGGATTGTTGGACAAACCATATATTATGCATTTAGTGAAAAATGTTATATTAAGTTTAACCCAATATCAGTGGGTGGCAAGACTACAATACCGTACCCACTGTAATAAGAAGTTTGTCTTTACACATAGATGGCTCTACAATGCTTAGTCACCAAGGAGTCAGCTATTAGTCTTACCTATCTCATCTGTTTACCCTTTTCCTTCATTTTTGAAAGCTTCCTTTCTATTATTTTATTGTTTTTGATGTTATCAAGGTTTTGATAACAATTTAATAATCATAATATCAATAAGAATGATAGCAATGTCAATATTAAAAGTATTGGAAAGAAAAGCAGATTTTCCCGCCAATTCAAGGAATGGGGAAATAAGGACTTGTCACTAGGGCCAACTGATAGACTCCCTGCTGGCTGAGCACATGTGGAGCAATGTGTATGTATCAAAACTCACTGAAATATAAAGGAGACAGGACATAGACCTGCAGACATTGGGTTGATTATGTGCCAGTTTAGATTCTTACTAATAATATATTGTAGTTTCATTTTGTGCTTTTCATGCTGGGTACATTTACAAACTTGGAATATGGAATAGGAAGATAAAATTCCTAAAGTTGTACAAATATTATCATATTTCTCACATATTCCCATTGGCAAAATTACAGCTGCACTGGGTTCAGAAGATGCATCTATACCATCACCAACCTGTAACAAGTGTCATCATAAATAGTGTAAAACATCAGAGAATGGCAACATATTTGCTTATAGGCTTTTCAAGGGCTCCCCAGTCATCCATTAATTCCTTGTCAGTAGGCAGTCAGTAGATAATCATTATGATCTCTTCTACTCAAATATGCCCATAAAATCCAGAAAGGTTAACGTGTTTCCCCTTCCCAGTGTCTAGCCTTTCATAAAACCATTTTCTAATCCCTGGTATCTGTTCTATTATTTTTTTCTTGTGCATCATAATCACTTGTTGAAGTTTAGCAGCCTTGAAGTAGGTACATCATATACTGATACAAAATTATTTGTTGGTGACAATATTGTTTGTGCATATCACACATTACAGTCCTTTCTTTGGTATTGATTCTAGAATATCCATTGGAGATTTATTTTTTTTCAGTTTTATTATTAAGTATTAACCTAGACAAACTATTATAGAATGCCTGTGATTGAATGCTATAAAAGCATGCTTAATAAATATTTAATCTCCTATTCTGAACTGCAATGATCTTCAGTACCATAAAATGGGCTTATTATAGGATTTGTCTATGTATCCTGGTGTGGCAATATTCCTTTACTTTATGAGAATTTATTAAGAAATAATTGATATTACTTTGTGTTGTACATAAGTTGGGTTACTACACCAGGTATTATCATGGGCTTGTTTATGTGATAATGTGTGGCAGTTATGTAACATGGTAAATGGTCACACTTTTGTTTAGGCTTGTGATGACAGCTATCAGCTGTTTTTTTTTTTTTCTTATAATTTGCAAACATGTTAAACTTTTTCATTGTGATGCAGTTTTCAATCTTTATTTAGATTAGTAAAATTCTTACTGTCATTTTTTTGCCTGATCTGTAACTTTCTAGTCAGGAACTCTTATCCACTTTGACACTTTAAAGAGTTCATGTAAGATTTATTGGGAAGTAGATAATTTGTAATAAAACAAATAAACAAACAAACAAAAATAAAACAGATGAGTCACTAAGTTTATGATAAAGATAAATTTTATTAACTAAGTTTGGGATAAAGATTTAAATCATTAACTAAGTTTATGATAACGAAGATTGTTGCTTTTGGAAAATATTTTGAACACTCATTCAGCATTTTTATGGATATTTTGAAAAAAAAAAAAAATCTTTGCAATGGATGAATTTGTTCATTAAAACTGAATGTGTTTGAAAGAAAAATCCTGTTAGTCCATTGTGAACTTTGTGTTCGTACAGAATTACTTCATCCAGACGATTCTCGGAAGTTTTCAAAGTGAAAGTAAATTTGAAGGAAAACAAAGGTCCAAACACAGTTCAACCTCTTTCTGCCTCAGTAAGGTAACCAAGACAATTCAATCTTATGTGATGTGTTTTCATTATCACTTGCTGATGACAAGTGGATTTGAGTAAAGGTGGTGTTTGAAGCTCCCTCATAATCTTTACCCTTTTCTACCTGAATGGTGGACTAATTGACTAGTATTGGCAGGCAAATTTATTTTGAACCTGTGTCTTTCCACATGGTTTAAAGCACCTCCAAACATTACTGTTTTTGGGGAGTTTTTAAAATTAGTTTTATCAGTTACCCCTTTAGGGAGTTTTGAATTTTCTCAGAAATTTGTGGATCAGCTGCATGATATCCCTGTTACTGATTTAATGAAGACTCAGTTTGAGGCAGTATTAAAATAATTTCTGTGTAACAGTGATTACCATGTAATGAAAGTAAAGATATAGTGACTAAATCACTTAAAGAAAATCCTTGTATGGAATTTGAGAAGAATGATTTTCAGTGCTTTTAGCTTTCGCTTTCATTGTTTATTTTTCTATTTTAAATTGGAAAGCACTTTTTGTGTATTTGATGCTTTGGCCATTCTGAAGCTTTGCTATTTTGTTTTATTTATTTATTCTTATTTTCAGAGATCTTCTTATATTTAAATATCTTTCCTTTGCATACAATTACATGTTTTTATACATATTTTCTACTTTTAAAATTCTTACTGCATGTTGTTATTAGCAGCATGATGATTATTCCTGCATAATTGGGCTTGAAGCAATTGTGGATACTATTATTTACGATTTCACGTTTTTTACTTATACACTATAAAAGTAATAGTTGAAGTATACAGATATTGAATATTATAATTTTACATTGTTACTGAATATGAAAAATTAATTATAAATTTCTTTCATTTCAGCCACTGCGTCTGGATGTAAAGCGGAAATTAACCGCTCGATCAGATCGTGTTAAGTCAGTCGATCTTCATCCTACTGAACCATGGATGCTTGCATCTCTTTACAATGGCAATGTTCATGTATGGAACATTGAGAGCCAGCAGTTGGTTAAGAGCTTTGAAGTAAGTGCTCTTAGCTATGATGCTAATGTTTGTAGTTCAGTAAATACAAATGTTTTGAGTTTCAGAAGATTAGAAAAAAACATATTTGGCTATATTATAATTTCTCCAGTTAGATTTTCCCATAAGCAACATATTATGTTTGTCTTATTTGCCAAATTTCTTATCTGTGATTTTCTTGATTCACATAAAATGTCACCATTAAAATGTAATTTTCCCACTATTTGCAGGTATGTGATCTTCCAGTAAGAGCAGCAAGATTTGTGGCCCGCAAAAATTGGGTTGTCACAGGCTCAGATGACATGCAAGTTCGTGTTTATAATTATAATACGTTAGAGCGTGCACACCAGTTTGAAGCTCATTCAGATTATGTGAGATGTATTGCAGTACATCCAACTCAGCCATTCATTCTTACATGCAGTGGTAATTATAAGTAATTTTATCTTCTGAGCTGTTTATTTATTGTATGTAAATATGTTTGTAATACTGCACGTTTGTATATATTGTATTCTGAGATTAATTTATGTTTATCTTTAATAGATGATATGACGATCAAACTTTGGAACTGGGATAAAAAATGGTCCTGCCAGCAAGTATTCGAGGGTCACTCTCACTACGTAATGCAGATTGTCATCAATCCAAAGGATAACAACACTTTCGCTTCTGCTTCTCTTGATCGTACTGTGAAGGTGATGATAACTTTCCAGTTATATTGCTTAATACTTGTGAAAGAAAATCATTCTTCATTCTGCTTGGCATTCATAGAATAGTTATAAGTTGTTTATAGTTTAGTCTGGCAAGATTTCTATATGCATTCAATGCTTGAAGTTGTTGGAATAATTTAAGGGTTGGAGCATGACATTAATTTGGAATAGTATATTTAGGCTAGAATGTAGTTATGGTAATTTCTGATTGGAATGCAGGCTAGAAGGATATTCTTAAAATATTTTTTTGATGAAAAATATAGCTTCCCCTTTTGTAATTTACAATACCCAGTTAACCAGGCTAATTAGGAGCTTGGTACAAATATATTGGGCATTGTTTTTATTTTTGCTTCTACATAATTTCATGTGTAATTGATTAATAAAGAGATGTGGCAAAAACAACATTTCAGATTATGTAGCCTGTATGTGTATGTAGTTACTTAGCTACTTGGTAAGAATTCTTGCCAAGCCCATCCAGAGATTGGAAAAAAAGAAAAAAAGATTAGTAATTTTCTGAATAACTTTTAATACAGGTGTGGCAGCTTGGTTCACCACAGCCGAACTTCACTCTTGAGGGTCATCAGCGTGGAGTTAATTGTGTGGATTACTACCATGGTGGAGACAAGCCTTATTTGATTTCAGGGGCTGATGATAGTCTGGTCAAGATTTGGGATTATCAGAACAAAACATGTGTACAAACCCTGGAAGGACACTCGCAGAATGTTTCCTCAGGTATGTTTTCCCTAGTAGTTAGGTAGTAGAACATCGTACGGGTAGGTTTGACATTTACAATTTTTATCTTACTGGAATTTCATATGTTTGAATCTTTTTAATTCATACCAAAAATGAAGATCCCAAAAAGTGCAATATTAAAAAGCAGATTAAAGTAAGTAATTGAATCTGTCTCCTCTAGTATCATTCCACCCGGAGCTACCAATCATCCTGACTGGCTCTGAGGACTGCACTGTGAGGGTCTGGCATGCCAACACTTACCGTCTGGAGAACACACTCAACTATGGTCTTGATAGAGTGTGGTGTATATCAGCTCTCAAGGGCTCTAACAATGTCTGCTTTGGCTATGATGAAGGCAGTGTCATGGTTAAGGTGAGATATGTTGCAACCATTCAAAGAGATTATTCATCATAGTTGGAAGCCTATTATAAAAGTCATGATATGTTTATGTAAAGGCTGACTTAAGATGTAGATAACTACTGTTATGTTAGATGTAGAGTAAATATGATTAATGCTCATATTCAGAGACTTCGGACACATTCTAGGGAGAGGTATTGTTTTTATTATACATTATAATTACTATATGTTGATATTAGTAACGGCAATAGAAA